GCAAGAATGGAGGATAGCTTGAAAATGGACTTCCTCAGCAGCAAGGACATTTACTTTTGGGAGGGGGAGGTTAAAAGAGGTCAGGTTGGTTTCTTGCCCTGAGTGCATGGTGTGTGCCAGATAACTGGGAGGGCCCAGATGACTGGGGTGGGGAAATGGGAAGGCTTATGTATACAGAGTGGGTGGAGAGGTTATGCTGCCTGTTCCTAGTTGATCCAGGGTGTTAATATTTATACAACTGGGACTCCAAATTTACCAGGAAGCTTCTGCTTCCTAGGTCGAGCCTGGGTCGGCAGCTTAAAATGGAGCTGCCCCTCTTTCCTCTTGGAAAGTAGGGCCTAGTCTCCTAATGATTTGGGGATTTTGTGAGGAAGTTCTAGAGTGTCATTGAGTCTGCCCCAGGCCTGAACTACCTATTCCTGTAGGAGGAGCTGACAAGCACAAGTGTGGAACACATCATTGTCAATCCCAATGCTGCCTATGACAAGTTCAAAGACAAGAGAGTGGGGACAAAGGGACTTGGTGAGACTGGGCTGGAAATTAGGTGGGGGGAAGCTTGTCTTCAGGCCTTAATGACATGCTTTGGGAAAGGGTCCTTTATAGAGATCTTTTGGGGAAGCCCTCATTGTCACCTGAGACCATGACTGCACTGGGCCTAGATCAAGCCTTCAATGCCATCTTCTTTTCTTGACAGATTTCTCAGATCGAATTGGAAAAACCAAGAGGACAGGATATGAATCTGGAGAATATGAGATGGTTTGTTGTGTGTGTGTTGATGGGAATGGTGCAGTGATCCTATCTAGTAGGAGATCAAGGGATACAGGTGGATTCCAAGTTTCTCTCTGATGGGAGGTCCTGAGGAACCTTGCAGGATACAGTTGAGAATGCTTTGTCCTTCTGCTGTTTGCTCTGGAGAAGCTCCAGCTATTTCAGTTCTTCTGTAGTAGAGTTTTGTGGATTCTGAATTGGATATAATACCCTTACCACTGAGGCCCAGCGTTTGGATAAATTATTGGGGTTCCCTGTGCTGGGAGGTGTCACATCACCATCTACGCTTGCTCTCTAGCTTGGAGAGGGTCTGGGAGTGAAAGAGACACCCCAGCAAAAGTATCAGCGACTCCTGCATGAGGTCCAAGAGCTGACAAGTGAAGTCGAGAAAATCAAGGTAACTATAAGCACTCTTCTTCCCTTTCTACTATGACTTATATAGCAGAGGAGGACCTCCCAACAGGTGGAGGAATATCCCCTAAGCTGCTGGATAAGGGGGCTGAAGTTTCCAGAGTTTAGGAATATACATAAATCTATATTTGGTGCTGTAGGTGCGTAAAAACCATCCCAGTGACTTCCAGCCACAGCTGGATCTTAATCCATTTTATTTTCTTGATTCACTCTTGCCACCTTTCTCTGTCTACTTTTCATACCAGACAGCAGTGAAGGAGTCAGCCACTGAGGAGAAGCTGACCCCCGTGGTGCTGGCTAAACAGCTGGCAGCCCTGAAGCAGCAGCTGCTTGCTTCCCACCTGGAGAAGCTACTGGGACCAGATGCAGCGATCAACCTTACTGACCCTGATGGAGCTCTGGCTAAGTAGGTACCCTGCTTGGTTGGGAAATCGTTGCTGATTGGGGTGTAGAGGGACTCAGCCGGGTACTGACAGGTATATTAAGGGAAGAAGTGGCCTAGCTGTTCCTTAATATTGACTGTGGTAAAAATGAGAATGACTGGGCTGGCTCACCTCCTTCAAGTCATGATATTATTATTTGTTCTCCTGACCCAGGCGTCTGCTGCTGCAGCTGGAAGCAACAAAGAACAGCAAAGGGGCTGGTTCAGGGGGAAAGACCACAAGTGGGACCTTCCCAGATGGCAGCCTAGTCACTTATGAACTGCATTCTCGGCCTGAGCAGGACAAGTTCTCTCAAGCTGCCAAAGTAAGTATATAGTAGTGTTGGTTGAGGGGTCAGGGGAGATGTGGCCCTAGAGACTTTCCTGCTTTCCTCCAAGGGATCAGTTGTGGGTAGAGGGTGCTGGGAACGCTTCTGATTCCTCTTGATATCTGATCTTCCATGTTTCCCTTACCCATCTATTTTCGGTTAAGATTTTAAGACTGTAACTAGGAATGTGTTCCAGGGAAAGGAGTCCCTTGGCAGAGGGGAGAGGGGAGTGGCAAGCAGACAAGTAGAGAAGAGCAAGATCTTACCTCCCACTGTAGCAGCAGGCAGGTAGATAGCAAATCTCACCTCCTTCCTCCCCCTAGGTTGCAGAACTTGAGAGGCGCCTGACAGAGCTGGAAGCAACTGTACGCTGTGATCAAGATGCCCAGGTCAGGTGCTCTCCTGTACTTAGTCTGACCCTCACATCCTGCACCATAAGCCTGAGGTCCACAGCATTCCACAGAATTCTGGGAACAGTCGGGAAAGGGCTTCAGTTACAGGATCAACCAGTGGGCTGCCAACTAGAACATAAAGAATAGGAGAACGTGGTGATCACATAGAGGTATTAGAACCACTGATTTCTTTCCTCCTTTTCCCCACCAGAATCCCCTCTCTGCAGGTCTACAGGGAGCCTGCCTTACGGTGAGTATGAAAGGAACAGTAGTGTTTGGATTACAGAAGGAATATTGGTATTGGGCTGCTTGGAGAATTGAGGTCTATAGCTATATATTTATTACCTCCAGTGGAAAATGGGGTGGTCTCTTTATAGTCTGATCCCTTCCCCTTTATGAAGCTTGTCCCACTTCCTACCTACAGGAAACTGTAGAGCTGTTGCAGGCAAAAGTGAGCTCCCTGGACCTTGCAGTTTTGGACCAAGTGGAGGCTCGGCTACAGGTATTAAGTGGAGGTCAAAGTGAATTACAGGTAGCTTGGGACTTTGGAAGCCCTGGATGCCCTTACTAATATCAACCTTAAAATCTGTGCATACAGAGTGTCCTGGGAAAGATGAATGAGATTGCCAAGCATAAAGCTTCTGTAGAGGATGCAGATACACAGAGCAAGGTCAGGAAGACGTCTTTCCCCATCTTCATACCTTTTTCTGCTCCCTTATGTTCTTTGAGTCATCCTGGTGATATTGATGAGAGCACTGAATCCCTCAGGTCCCTGTCTTCACAAATTCTTACCAGCTGAGAAAGTCAGGGCAGTGCTTCGTTCTATACTCACCTATTTGACCTTGCCCCACCCTAGTCTATTAGTTAGTATGTACTTTACTGATGGCTGGGTCATCCCCTCTGGGCCCTGTCACATCCCTCCAGGTGCACCAGCTATATGAAACCATACAGCGTTGGAGCCCCATCGCCTCCACCCTTCCTGAGCTGGTGCAGAGACTTGTCACCATCAAGCAGCTACATGAGCAAGGTGGGAGGCAGCTGCCAGGAGTACTCAGCACAATTGGAAAGTAGGCAACTTTTATTCCCTTCCCTCCTCTTGGAGTCTAACCTCCCCCATGTTTTCTCTCTTCTTTTGCAGCCATGCAGTTCAGTCAGCTCCTGACACACTTGGATACCACACAGCAGATGATAACTAGTTCCCTCAAGGACAATACCACCCTCTTGTCCCAGGTGTGTGCCTTTATTGGTTTGCTACCTCCCTTCTTCAGCACACAGACAGGTTCTCCAGCTTTATCTCAGAGGGTTCTGCCTTAGCCCCTTTGGTAGTAGCATGGTGTTGCGGCAAGGGCTTGGTTTGAGTCTCCATACTGTTTTTCAGTGTTTGTACGACCTTTGACCTGTGAACCTCTGTCTTAACCCTCTGAAAAGTATACCTGAGTTATGTGGACTAGGTGAAATAATATGAATTGTTTAATAAACCTGTTTTTCCTCTAAAACCTACCCTTCTTGGATCCTCATCCAAATGCTCCTGAGCACAGTACATTGGAATACGGGCTTTCAAATCAAAAGCTAGTGTCCCACCTGATTCTTCCTTTTCCTTTCTGACCCTGAGCAGCAAGCTTTACTTTCTTCCTTCCTTCTTTTAGCAGAGCCCAGCACATAGTGAATCCTCGGTTTCTGTTGGAGGCACTATTTCCAGTGCCGGGGGCAGTATTTAAAGTTGAGACCATTATCACAGGAACATCAAAATAAATGAAAAATATGTAAAATGCTTGGTATAATGTTCCTCTAGATCAGTTTTCTAAAACTTTGAACCAGTGAAACCTTATTTCAACAAAACCTTATTTGGCCCTCTTAATAGTCCTGCATGAATGGCAGACCCTGAGCTAGGTCCATGGTACTCCAAGGGTAGTTAGAAAACTGTTAACTGTAGTTACAGTACTACCCTTGGAGTACCATAATCTTCCTGGCTGTGGGACTATTAAGCTGTGTTTCCATTGTTTCTGTTCTAAGAGAATTTCTTTAGGTCTTTTTCCAGGTAAGGACCTGACAATAAACATCTCTTATGTTCTAGGTACAGACAACCATGCGTGAAAACCTGTCCACAGTTGAGGGGAATTTTGCCAACATTGATGAACGGATGAAGAAGCTGGGAAAGTGAGCCCCTTTGGAAGATGGAGAACAGGGGTAATGCCTACCCCTTTGAACTCTGTTAACAGCTTACATAGGGTTTCCCCTTAAATATAACTCGCGTATCCCCATCCCATTTGACACTAGGGACAAGGGTTCTTGCATGTGGGGTTTACATCCCTCCTCTGATGACTAGTGTGGTAGCTGGGGGATATTAGATGGTGGTGTCTCCTTGGGCCCCAGGGATGAGGACATGGGCTCAGCCACATGCCAGCTCACGTCTAATACTGCTTTGTCCAGTGTGGGGAAAGATTGGGTCCTGTCCTCCAGCACAGCTTCTGTGGCTGATTGTAACACTGTACAACTGTTTCTGACCATTAAATGCTGTTGTACTCTGTGTGGCCCCTGCTTTATTTCCTGGGGAAGAGGCAGCACTGAGAGACATTCACAGCATATTAGGCAGTCTAAGCTACTCTCTACAGGAGAAAGTTTAAATTCTAACTCGTTCATACTAAAGAACTAAGGAAAAAATGAGTACAGAGTCAGAGCCAGAGTTTCAAAATATTCTCATCTGTTAAATTAAGAGTGTCTCCCATAGAAAAGCAGTGGAGGCCCCACAGGGCAAGTACAAAACAGAATTAAAACTCCCAAGGGTCTTGTCTTTACAAAAGAAAAGGCAGGAGGCAGCCCCTGGACAGCTGGTCATGCTGGCCGCTCCGGTTGGACCACGTTGCATAATCCTCAGTCGCATCATCACAACGTCTCTGAGCGTTTTGATGGGGGGAGAAGGGGCAGTGTAGTGTGTATGGGAGGAGAGGCCCAGAGGGCTCTCTTTGCCCCCTTACCCCCTTTTTCTATCCCAGAGGAAAGTAGAGGAAAGCTGGCTACACCTTGAAATGAGGCTATGTGTTTCAAACCTGGGGACAGGGTAAGAGGGGATCTGTGCTTTGAGCAACCTGAGCCAGAGACAGAGGGGTGTTGGAGGGGTGAGGGGAGGATGCATGATGCTTATTGCTTTGTACCTTTCACTGGGAAGGAGGGCAGCAGCCAACAGTAGCTCACAGGTTTGTAAACTGAGCCTGCTGGCTTTAAAAAGGGAGGCAATGAAGTCGAATTAAATATAAAAGAGTCATTTGTGCAAAAATAACTTAAACAAATAAAAGACCTGGGGAAGGGGGTGTTCCCCTTAGTCTGGTGGGGAGCAGGCCATATACCACCCCCCCAGGCCTTTTCAGTGACATGGCTTTAGGGGGGGAGGGGGTGAGCTTCCTGACCCCCTGCAATGGCTCAGGATGGGATTGTAGGGGAAGGGCTTGCATTTGTGCTCTGAGTGGGGAGTAGTGCCCCCACCCACTGTCCACAGGTGCAGGTGGCTGGCAGGGGCTCCCAAGGCTCAGCACTCAGCTCTCCCCAATCAGGGTCAGATCCAGCTCCAGGTATGGCTGCTATGGGGCCAGTTTCCTCCTCTTGTTTTTGGCAGGACGGCCAGGGCGGGCCCGGGGAGGCAGAGGGACAGCCGCCTATACAAGAGGGGAAGTTGAAAGAAGTGATCAAACAGCTAGGTATCAAGAAGTCTTTTATTTTCTCCCCACTCCCTCTAACCCTCTTTTCCTCCTGCCTCATCCCTTATTCACCCACTCCCACCCACTGACACTTACTCGGGTTGTGGGGCTGGGGTCCAAGGTAACATCCTGGCGGGAGCTATTGCTGTTCCGGGTAGGGCTGCAATAAGGGGCACAGATGATCAGGCACACCCACCCCCCGGCCAAGCACCAAATGAATTTCAGAGTTTGGGTGGGAAACTCTACATTTGGACAGTAAAGGCATAACATCCTTATTGGAGCCAAACTACTCTTTTGACATTTCTATAAACCCAGCAAGAAGTGAGGAAAGGCCAGGATTGTGGCGGACCCAACACTCACTTGTATTTTCTCCTCCGGCCACGACGAGACTTTCTGACTACCCCTGAGGGCACCTGAGAAAAGATGGACTGTGTGTGTATTTTTTTAAGAAAAGGCACCATAGTCTCAGCCTCTCTTGAGCCCTTCAGCCTGACCACTTTCACTCTGTACTCACCTTAAGGTCTTCAGAATGGGGCCCAGGAGGGGATGGATCCTTGGGCTCTGCACCCCCTTCAGCCAGCTCCCCATTATGCTGCCAGTGGTGGGTCCTTGGGGACCGTTCCATTTGTCCATTGAAGCTACCACGTGCCCCCCACTTGAGGGCCAGTCGGCCAGGCTCCCGCCGGCTACCAGGCTTTCGACCACGACCTGGCCTGGCCTCACCATTAATGCCCCTAAGTCCCCCTCCTCCCCTCCGGCCCCGTTTCCCTGACCCCCTCCCAGTGAGCAGCTCAGGGACTGGGGGGTCGGGAGAACTGTGGGGTGGGGCTAAGGCACTGAGGGGAGGCCGGGCAGGCTCCGGTTCGAGGGCTGAGGTGGGGCTCTCAGGGGGCAGACAGGGGGCTTCTGGCTGCTCTGGAGGAAGCTGCAGGCAAAAAATAAAATCTCAGTCTCAAATACAGTCCTCTGCTTTGTAACTCAGAATGCTTATATTTCCAGTTTGGGAAAAAATTCCTGACAGAATCCCTCACCCTCACCTGGAGAGACTGTAGCAGGCAGGCTAGGGGACTAGAAGCCTCTGAGAGGGGTGGAGGAGCTCCCCCCCCAGGGAGGAGCTGCAGCCCCAACTGGCCAGAGAGAAGAGGGCCAGGAGGCTGCAACAGGCTGGGGAGGGTTCCAGGGCTGCTGGTCAGTGAAGACAGGTCACCTGTTGAATTATAAAGTCAAGGATCTCACTAGGCAAACCAATTAGGTTGAACAAACCCTATTATTCTTTTAGGCTTTACCCAGTTCAAAGACTTTCTTCCCCAGTTCATCCAGCTGCTCCTCCCAATTTTTACTGCTTCCTTTCTTCTTTTTCATACCAGAAAAGTCTTCCCTCAGACTCACCCAGCAGGCTGGCACTCAGCAGAGGGCTAAGAAGTTGGGGGGGTCTCCCTGAGTTGGAGGGGGCCTTGCCCAGAGAGGAGGCTCCCAGGTCAGTAGTTGCCGTGGTGACACTGGAGGTAGGTGGTCCAGGTTGGGGGGCACTCAGGACACAGGGCTAAAAAAAGAAAAACGGTTATAACATGTGTAAAGTGTTCTATACATTTATAGTACTTTCACACATATAATCTCACTGAAGCCTCATGTGAAGGCCACGCTTATTAAATACAGACCCAGTTCTCACTGTCATCCTACCCCCAGCCAAACACTAAGCCCTCCCCAAGGCCCAAAGGAAGACTTCAGGCATGAAACTGAAAGCTTTTGATTCCCAGCTCCCATCTCTTATTCTACCTCTTGTTCTGTCCCACCCACTCACCCCCTATCCTCACCTGGGGGGTTGTCCCCGAGGGGGGATCCAGGCTGGCGGCCAGCAGCGCAGAATTTAAAGCTATGAGGGTAGGGGGAGCTGAAAGTGGGGGGAACAGTAGCGGGGGCAGGTCTCCCAAACCTGAAAATGTTTCCCCACTTGGACCCCCAGCGCCCTCTGCAGATCCCTCCCCATCCCCAGCTGTGGGGCCCAGGGCCAAAAGAGGCAGGAAAGAAGCAAGGAGGTTGCTAGGAGGTGCAGAAGGGGGTGGAAGGAGGTCTGAAGGGGGTGGTGGAAGCAGGGAAGCCACCAAAAGCGAAGGCCCTTCGGGTTCGCCTGGGGCTAGGGGAGGGCCAGGTCCCCCTGGTGGGGGTAGCAAGGGCTCAGGGGGAGGTTGTCCTCCTCCCCCAGCCAGCACACCAAATAAGCTGTGGCTGAGCAATGGAGAAGGTGGAGGCTGCCCTAGACTCAGAGGGAGAGGCAAGGCCCCTAGCATCCCAGGGAAGCCAGCTCCACTCAGTGCCAGGCCCTGCTCAGGGCTGGAGAAAGGGAAAGCCTCCCCACCAGCCAGGGGGGGCAGAGGGCAGGCTGGGCCCGCCCCCAACCCGAGCCCTTCAGATGGGCTTTGAAGCACAGGGCTAGGGACTAGGGGGGCTTTGGAGGCAGCTGGTGGGGCAGGGGCACCTGCAAAGGAAAAGAAAGATTCAGCTCTAGGGAACCCTTTCTCCCAATGTCCAAAGAACCCAACCTCCCTGTCCCCAACCCAGAAAACCAAAGAGCTCTAAACTCTCCCCTAAATGCCTTAGCTACCTCTTTCAACCCCAGGAGAGGAGGAGCTCTACCACATTTACATACCTGGCACACTGCTGAGGCTGCCACTTGTGGTCCCAGGCAGGGAGGGTGGGATGGGGTGCCTGGGCTGGGGAGGGCTCCCTGAGGAGAGGGTTGGGGGAGGAGGAAGGTGTGCATCTGACCCCAAAAGGTTAAAGCTTCCATCAGAGTGGGAAGGGCCAGGGGTAGGGAGTCCCAGAAGGGACAGCACAGAAGGAAGAATTGGTTGGGATGGCTCAGGGAGAGAAAAATGGGGGGAAGGTGCAGGGGCCCGGGGACGGCTCCGTCTAGGGGCTTGAGGGCCTCCCCCTTCTAGCAATCGCAGTACAGTTGGGGGTCTGCGGGGACGACGCTGAGAGGGACGGGGTAATGAGTGGGAAGCTGAGGGTGCCTGGGCACGGGGCCTTCGGCCCTGTAAAGTGCTGGGAGGTGGGAGTGGGGGATGCTGTGCCTTGGCCGCTGCAGAGAGTAGGCTGCTAGCAAGGAAGGGGGGTGCCCCAGGCCCCTCTACTGTGGGGGCCCCTCCCAGAGGTCCCAGGACCAGGGGCAGGTGCATAGTGGCTGAAGACACTGGTGGCTGAGTGGCAGGACCAGGGGGACCAGGGAGATTATTGCTTGGGGGTAGAGGAGGAGGTGTTAAGGCATCACTACAGTGGAAGAGAGGAGGGTCTGAAGGTGGTGAGGAAGAGACATGGGCAGCTGGAGGAGAGCCCAAGTCAGGGGGCACCAGGCTGGATCGAAGGGCAGCTCCCCAGTTGTATGAGGGGGCATTGAGACTGATGGCAGGTGGAGGAGGTGGAGCTGGAGAGGGGGCATTGCCCCTTGGGAGGAAACAGGGGCTACTGCTGCCTCCAGAGGGGACTGGGTCAGGAAGCCTTGGTGGTGGGAAGAGTCCCCCAGGGCCTGCTAGAGGTGGGAAGGCTGGCGGAACTGAGCTTGGTTCTGGGAGAAGGGAGCCAGGACCCCCATTAAGTGGAGTTGTGGGAGGGACTCGACAGGGAGGGCGGGCAGAGGGGAGCCCTGGGGACACAGTGTGGAACATTTGGGGGCTTGCTCCCTCTCCTGTAATAAAAAAGAAATGATGAGTTGTGGCTCCCCTTCCAAAAATTTTCTTTTGTCTTCATCCTGTATCCTATAAATTCCCAATCTCTCTGTGCTCTCCCCTCACCAAGCAGCTTCCCCACTCCACTTTTCTTGCTCCCTCTCATGGATATCCTTCCACCATCCCTCTTCCAGGCCCTTAAGTTGTCCTCAGTCTTCTGTAAAAGAAGAAAACTCACCAGGAGAAGAGTGTGAGCAGGTGGTCTCCATGCTGCGGTACAGAGTTGCCATGGCAACGGCTTTCCGGCGGTGGTTGCACAACTTGGTCATGTCCTCCTCTGATGCTGGCCCCACCCCAGCCCCACCCAGGGTCACCGGGGCCAAAGGGTCAAAGTTGAAAACCTGTAAGGTAGAAGACGTGGACAGGGACCCTGAGCGGTGGAATCTGTGACAAGGCCTACCATGGGCAGTGACTTGCATTAAGTCTCTTGGCTTATTCCTGTACATTCTGGCACTCCTCATCACTCTCAGCGGTCCCCAACCTTTTTGGCACCAGGGTCCAGTGCTCCTATTAGAATCTAATGCCTAATGATCTGAGATGGAGCTGAGGCAATGATGCTAGCACTGGGAGCAGCTGCAAATACAGATGAAGCTTCACTTGCTCGCCTGCCGCTCACCTCCTGTTATGCAGCCTGGTTCCTAACAAGCCACAAACAGCGGTCCGTGGCCCGGGGTTTGGGGACCCTGACTCTGACCTTGGGGACATTGAGTGGACACTCCAGACCGCACTTGCAGGTCCCATCGCTGAGGAGGTAGCTCCGGGTTTGCTCCAAGGAAGACAGCTCTGTGCCACTTGGGCTGGAAGAGAACAGAGATAGAGTATGGGGTTAGCTGATACTGAGGAGACACTCCTGAAGAACAGTTCCTTAATCAAAGACCTTTCTAGGAAGAGAATAAGGTAAGGGATGTGGGAAGAGACAGAAAGAGGGAGAACAGACTCAAAGAACCAAAGATATGGAGAACAAAAGGCTGAGGAAGGAAGGAACAAGAGAGAAATGGGGTACCAGAGATCTAGGCTTTGAGAAGGCGGGGTGGGAAACAGAACTCAGGCAACTAAAGGGCCTGAGAATATAATTCGGGGAACTTTTGAGGATTCATATACCTGATATAGAGCACAGCACCCTCTCGAACACAGCGCTGCCAGCCGATGGGGACAGATGTGGCCACAGGGCCCCCAGCTCTGTCTGCTCCACTGCTCTCATTGCCCCCATTCATTGTGTGTAATCAGCTCCCACGTGCCTGATAACACAGACATCCATGTGGGCATTAGAAGGATTAAACTTGTCTGGGTACCTGAGGGAGTACTTCAGGAAGGCAAAGGTTCTGGGAAGACCCAAGAGAACTCAGGGGCATGGGGAAACCCTCTGCCATCCCACCATGGCTACCTGAACATCTCTGCAAACATTGTGGGGTCCAGTCTAAAGCCGGGGCCGCCGGCTTAGCCCACACCTGCAAAATGAGAGAGAGACTGTCAGGAACCTACCCAACTCAGGAGAGAAGCACAGCTCAAAGACATTCAAAGGAAAACAATCCTTAATGAAGTAAGTGCCCATAAAAATCTCAGAGATTTGCTGGGTCCACAACCATCCTTTCCATGTGCAGTCTCTAGGAACCAGAGGATCAAAGCCTCAACTCCCAAGGACCAAGGAATCACAACACAATCCCTAGACATAAAGGGCAAGGTCCTTTTGTCCCATCTGGGACAGAAGACTTCACCCAGGAGTGTGGGCAAATTCCCATAATGCCAGGCCAGTAGGAAGTTTCCCAGAGTCTGGCCCCTGCTGTCCCCTCCCCCCCAAGGAAGATCATATAAAAAGTACAGATTTCCCCACAGGTCACCAGGCAATTGCCCAACTGCCTGCTGGGGTGGTACCAACAGAATTTCCCCCATGCCTGCTACATTGGACAAATCACTAATCTAGTTCATTTGGGTCTTCTTAAGAAATATAGGAATCACAGCCCTGTCTTCTTCCAGAACCCTGAAAAGCTCCTGATTTTCCCCCAAATCTAAGGCAAGAGGATTCAGCACCTCCTATCCCTCAGGCTTCACATTAGCTCCAACAGGGAGTCTCCTCTAATATATGAGGCCGCCCCTCAAACCTGCAAGTATCCTCCCCAACCATCGCTCCCACCCCACACTGGCGGCTTCAAAACTTTCCCTCTCATAACAAGGCGCCCTGTCACCCAGCCTGCTTCCCTTAGCTTGGGGAGGAGGGGAAGGCGCACGAAGTAGGAAGGAACTTGGGGAGAGGGCGGGCGGAGGGTGGGCGAAGCACTGAGGGGAAGGAGGTGAAGAAGGCAAAAGTCAAGCAGTGAGAGGGAAAAACGGTGGGGGCAGGTGAGGGCG